AAATTTCCTTGATCAGCTGGGCCAGCAGCAATTCTAGCCCTTCTCCTTGCCTGCCAACCCCACTTCTGTGACATCGTAAAGGCCCAGCAGCTGTGACACCATTTACCCTTCTCCCCGCCCAGAGGTTATAGCCCTGAAATCTTAGGGAATATAGAGTGTTGCTGTCCTGCCAAAAGTGATAGACATAATTGGTGAAGTGAAGAATAAGAATCCATCGACGGCCAGCAGCAATTCTAGCCCTTCTCCTTGCCTGCCAACCCCACTTCTGTGACATCGTAAAGGCCCAGCAGCTGTGACACCATTTACCCTTCTCCCCGCCCAGAGGTTATAGCCCTGAAATCTTAGGGAATATAGAGTGTTGCTGTCCTGCCAAAAGTGATAGACATAATTGGTGAAGTGAAGAATAAGAATCCATCGACTGGATAGATGGCAGTGCCAAATGCACAGTGACAGCCAGAAAGGCACAGAAAAAGCTCTGGGTTTGGACACTAAAGCATCTTAGGATGCTGGCTGCTGATGTAGAGACAGGGAAATCTGCCTCTCTCTATGGTGGAGTGTTTATGTCCCCATCTACACTGAACCTGTATAATTGCAAAGAAACACAAACATCACAAATTGTCAAGGAACCTTCAGAGGATACCAAATCTGGGTAAGCCTCAAGAGCCTGGAATGTCTAACTGCTCAGAGAAGAGACAGCTGAGCATGACAGTGAGACAAACTTCACTTCTGGGTTCATTCTATTCCCCCTCGAATTTACTTACACGGAATTTTGTTAAGAAGACTTTCAATGAAATTTGGCTGGGCTGTGGTTGAAATAGGGGTTGCTGTGCTGTTACTGACGCTGCTTGGAGCCTCTGTGGTTGTCCCGTTCTCCATGGCTCCAGGAAGGTGTGCTGGAAAAACGAAAGGTGAGAATTATTTACACGAGTTTTATACTCTTCAGACCTCACCCAAGCGACCTGTAGTTTATGATAAGGGCTGGCTTCAAATTACATCTCAGAATCTATTTTCAGTAAGAAGACCAAACCTTTTAAATGGTGACGTAGTCATAGATAACAAACTCTTCCGAGCACCTGCAAAGAGCAGGAGTGCGATGCCAATAGCGGGGAAATAATCACATGTGGCAAAGTCTCTGCTACCGGACCTCTCAAATGGCCCTCCCCCAATCCCAAGTATGTATCTCTCGGTGGTACAAGCCATTTTTCAGGACGTGGAAGTCTTTGCAAGTTTGGGATTTTGTGTGTGTACGTGCACGCATGTGTGTGTGCACGTGTGTGCAAGCATGTACGAATGTGAGTGAAAAAACATTTTATAAGGACCTTTGAAACACTGACAGAACAGGCAAGATGGATGTGACTTTGTCAGAGAAAATGCCACACTCCCTTCTCTTCTCTTCTCACTATTGGTTGCCAGTTTTTAAAATCAGTTTTGATCCATTTTTTTAATGTGGAGCCTATACCCCTCCCTCCAAAGGTACCTGCAGGAATTTTTCTTGGGCAGGGGCAAAGCAGCGAAGCAGTATGTTCGCATAAGGCATATGCGTAGTGCATGATGCCGCTGCAACACATTGCATCTGGTCTATGTACCTTAAGATACTAAAGGTATTTAGGCGGCGGGAGAAGAAAGCATTCCTTCCCTCCCACACCTGTGCCTCTCCAGAAACCCACTCACAACAGTCCTGCCAAATCAGAGTGGCAGATGCCTCATTTATTTATCTTTGCTCCCACCTCATTAACATTCATGGTGAATGTTAGCATGCCTGTATCTAATCAAGAAATGCAGCTGGAAATGGTAGCACATGTTTTCATTAATAGAGAGGGACTCTTCATCATGTAGTAGATTTAAAGCCTTTGTAAACACAGCAAGTGAGCATTGCTTGTTAAACATTAATTATTATAATTGACTAGTAGTTTTTCAAATTGTTGTGTACCTCAGTGAAGAAGCAAGAAACTACCCTCCTCTCCCCCTCATTCAATTCTTGTAACCATGTTCGTGTTTATTATGGTTACAGAGCTCTTGCCATGATCAACTGAAACCCAGTCTTTACAGTGTCCTGACCATGGGAGCCACCATAAAAGTAGGGTCCAGGACTTCCATAATGAAATGAAATGTGCAAAAAATGTTTGCTCTTATTCAGGTCTGTAACTAAAGCAGGACAACCAAGGCTTTGCACCCAAGGATCAAAATTTAGATGATGCTGAAATCTAAAGTTGGTAAGTGTCAGGAAAATAAGTGGCACTACTCCTGGCCATGTTCACTTTCCTTTAATTTGAGCATAAACTTGATCTTCCTTTTGGTGCCATACGCCACATTCTGCTCCCCCCCTTTTTTTGGAGGGAGGTTCATGCCAGTACCTCAGGACAGAGTGCATGGGAGAAGTTGTTGCTTGCTCCCAATGTTAACATTGCTAGTGACAGCTCTCCACTTATTTGTTTCTTATTTTTATATCTTGCCCTTCCTTTAAGAAGCTAAAGGCAACATATATGACCCTCTTCTCCCTTTTTTTAATCCTCAGAAGAACTCTGTTAATTAGGTTTGACATGCAAAGGGCTGCCATGCCGCTAAGCACATGAGAATATGAGGAGGTGGGAGGGGGTTAAGGAAGCACCCCCACTTCCAGCTCCAGTTTCATCCCTGTGTGGAAGGAGTAAACAAGATTTGTCTTCAGACCGCCTCAACCCTTCCATTACTACCTTTTGGGAATGACACATCTCTCCCCATCCTTCCCTGATGAAATGTTTCAGGTTCTGATCAGGGCACTTTTGTCCTGTGCTCCTTCTGGAGTGGAAAGAATGAGTTTCCTATCACACCAAAGAAAGTCCACAATTTCACTTTTTTTTTGTCCATTTTTTAAAAGGAAACTCATTCTGTTATTTACTGTTTTGGATTAATAGCAAACTGTTATCATTACCATTACCGGATCAGCAGAAGTAACTACGTCTGTTATTTGCTATTAACACGTTACTGTTACAGCTATTGGGAAAATGTATGTTTATTTGGTCCTTCAAATGGCCAATTCTTTTTATTGTACATTGAAAATATTGCAATAAACATGCCACAAGGCAAAGTTCTCTTGACATTTTCCTTTTAGATGCTTTGAAGTACATCCCCTCCTCCCACATGCAATCTTCCCAGAGATGGGGTGGGATGGATGGAATTCTATACACTGGCTTCTGTGCTTTCATTTAGTGTGCAAATTGAATTGTCATAACAAAATGTGCTTCCACAAAACATCCACTTGCTATTTTCCCAATTAGATCCAACAGAATGAGCATCAGGAATTAAAAATTATATTCATAGTAGATTAGGCACCAGGTTGGCTAGAATAAGTACAAGAGGTCACCTTAAATGAAGCTTCCATATCAGAGGCATTATACTTCTGATACTGTACTTTGAATAACCATTGGGAGAGTGCCTTGCTTATGGCTCCTCCTAATGGACTTGAATTTGACCCAACTCCGGGAGGCAGTGGAAGACAGGAGGGCCTGGCATGCTCTGGTCCATGGGATCATGAAGAGTCGGACACAACTTAATGACTAAACAGCAATGGACTACTACCTACTGCCTGCCAGTCATAAATGCTAGTGATTGGTGTGGAATATGTTTTTATAGGCCATGTTATTCCATGCATCCCAAGGATGACTTTGAAAACTCAACCCTAACAACCAGCTGCATCTTGGTCTTTTATGTGAGAAAACCATGTTGGACTTAACAGATGGCACTGGCTCTCTGGCAACTCCCCTGAACTAGGTGACCTTGTCGGCCCATACATTAGCAGTCCAGTCCAGTGCTTGCCTAAGTCACAGCTCCTCAGTACACTCTAGTATGCATACACTCTCTTGTTCTCGCTCTCTTTCTGTTTCTCTTTCTTGTGTGCATGTCTTTTCTTGAGCATACATGCTCTCACTTGTGTGTGCTCTCTTGCACATGTTAGTGCACTATATGTTTTGGGTGCATTCTCTTTTGCAGACGTGATGCCTGGCAATACACTCTTTCTCTCTCTGCCCTCATTCACCGTTTGATTCTGCAGTAGTTGCTTGACTGAAATTTAGAACAAGTGACTAGAGAGATGGGGAGGAGAAGAATGCCTCTTTCAGGATAGAGTGTGATTAGGGGTGGAAGTCTGGGAATCCTAAAGCAACAAAGAATTCACCCCAAGGAAACACTTCTGTGTTTGATTTTTCATTTTTGGGCCATATCTTACTCCAGTCTTGTTTTTCCTCTTACTCAGAACCTAGATGAAAGCAAGTTGATTCCTTTAAAAAAAGCAACTGATCATAAGTGTTGTTGTTTAGTCGTGTTCGACTCTTCGTGACCCCATGGACCAGAGCACACCAGGCCCTCCTGTCTTCCACTGCCTCCCAGAGTTGGGTCAAATTCATGTTGGCAGCTTCAATGACACTGTAGAACCATGTTATCCACTATCGTTCCCTTCTCTTCTTGCCTTCACATTTTCCCAACTTCAGGGTCTTTTCCAGGGAGTCTTCTCTTCTCATGAGATGGCCAAAGTATTCAACAGGCACACATAGTGTTAAGTAGACAGAAAATGCAAATATTGTCTAGAAATAGATGATCAGATATATACTTGTTTGGACTACTGTTACTGCTGAAAATATAACAAGTGTGGGCAAAATCCAGTTCAGAGGCTACATGTGGCCCTTAGGGCACTTTTGTAGATCCACCTACCTATAATTATTTTAAAAAATGCAAAATATGGTAGATTTACCCCCAAGGAGCAGCAGTCTGGACATCAGTGGCTGGAGAGAGCATTCAAAGCTCCCTAACCCCAAAAGTTAAAAAAAAAAGTAAGTGCTGACCCAGGAACTTTCTTTTTATTGTATTTTTAGCCAACTGAAAAGAGCCATTTCTGGGCTCCGTGTGGATCTGAAGGGGTCTGAAGGCATAAATTTGACATCCTGGACCTCCTGAGCCCCACCATCAATCTATCTATATCAAAACTAAATTATAATATGCAGTTATAGTTAAAACCAGGTCTCTGCTGTCAGGTAATCACAGGACAATCTGTCCATCTTTAAGGACATAAACACCGTGGCATGTGGGCCCAAGGCTTGGATTGTTATTTTTAGAAGGAACACAGTGCATGATTAGTCACTTTGGGGGTGGCTTGCTTAATGCTACCATTGCTACTGCTCTTGTGTGCTATCAACACATTGTGACCTGCCTGCCAGATGGTGTGGAGTATAAATCTAATAAATAAATTAATTAATTGTGTCAGCCAGTACCCTATAACAGGGGTCCCCAACCATTTTAACACCGCGGAGCAGCTGGGGAAGGTGGGGCACCCCCTCGCACTCATGTGCATGCACTCTCTCTATCTCTCACACAGGTGTGTGCGCATACGTGAAGGAGCGGGAGGGTGCTCATGTGGGTGCTTGCTCACTCGTGCGTGTGCGCAAATGGCGGTGCAGTGCTCGTGCAGGTGCACGGGCACTCGTGTGCATACACAAACGGGTATGTGTGCCTGCGGGGGGGGGGAGGTCTGTTTCTGCAGCTCGGTCCAGCTCAGGCCAAGGACCATCACTGGGCCTTGGACCGGGGATTGGAGACCTCTGCCCTATAAAATACAGAGGAATCTGTTTGGTTCCCTCTTTTTGCTAATTCCTATATTCCACATTGCCAATATTGCCCCCCCCCGTATCCTCAAAAGGCACAACAACAAAAATATTATCTTGCCATTTAGAACCCTTAGAAGAATATTCTCTAAAAAATTCTTACAGTATATGACTTCTAACATGTCCTTAACTTGTTCTTAACAAGCACCTTTTGAAAGTTACTAGAAATCATTGTCCATAATTTTTTTTTATAAATAGGGACTTGATAACTAGTTCTTACATTGGTTTTAAAGGTTAACTTAGTTATAATCTTGTTGCCAAAAAGTAACTGGTTACAGTTAACCATATTACTTGTAACTAGTTACTTCCAAGCTCTGCATAGGACAATTAAAACACTGATCCTGTAGTGATGTAGTTAAACACTAACACTGCAACTATACCCTGGGTTATGCCTATTTGTGATACAGACAAAGATGAGGCTGTGGCATAACAGGGGCTGCTATGGGTAGAGGTGTTTTGTGTGCATCCGATATGTGTTCCACATCATGTGAATGCCAGTGGTGGATAAATTAATTAAGACTAGCATATCCTTTGTGACCAACTAACAAATCTCATGAGATTCTCCAGTGAAATTCGCCTTGGAACCTCAAGATTTCTCTTTCAGACAGTCTGATGAATCCCAACACACTTGCAAATAAGTATATTCGATCTTAAATGTAGAAATATATGCTGATCTTGGATTAAGTCCACACAAGACAGGAGGATTGTGTTGTATGAGAGAGATCTCAAAAAGAAGCAGCAGTTCCCAACTACAGATATTTAGTTATCAAAGTCACCTCACTCCTCAGCATATTAGACAGTTGTTTTCTTTTGCTTTTTCAGAGAGTGACATTTTGGACTAAGCCATGAAACAATGAACAAGCGCACAAAGATTGTGGGGAAGAACTAACACATTGCCAAACAGGAACAATGTCAGCTTGAACTTTCTTGCTTGATTAGAACGAAGGGCAAGGGTATTCCATGAAAAGAAAAAGTTACATCATCAGGGTACACTGCTTTTTCTATTTTACTTTTTAAAAGGATAAATCATAAGACATCAAAAGTGCCATGTAATACCTTCTATGACAATGAATGGACTTAAAAAGGCAGTCCAAGTATTGATTCTCTGTGGAAACAAGATCACTTACTTTAGTTTATCTTCATCATGTTCTCGCAGAAAGGCTCTTCCCCATGGTAAGCAATTCCTCTGCCCTGAATGGAGCACGTCATGGCTAAGCCTGTTGACCCTCAGACCAGCATGCTGAACTCAGTCCCCAGTGGCAAAAATCGGCTGCCTCTTTTTTTTGCATAAAGCAGGCACTAAACCGGAAATTCTTCTTTGTGAGCAGAGAAACCAGACCGATGAGAATGGCTCTGGCTGGCCCCTCCTCAATAGTTAAGCTATGTACTTTTACACAGAAAGAACACACACACAGCGCTATGTGGGCACTCCCACTGATATGTTAATTTTTATCACAGAACTGGGATAAAGCTAACGGGCTACAGAAACACAGTCCAGAAATTCAGTGGGCATTAATGGGCATCTTGTATCTTTGGGCCAGTTGGTGTCAGTGATGCAGTGGACCTGCTGGAGGGACAAAATTATTTTAGTTTTATTTCTGGATGGCGAGGAGCCATGCTAGACACAAAAACAACAGAGTCTTTTGGCACTTTAAATACAAGCAAATTATATTTGCTATAAGCTTTCGTAGGTTTACATCTGACAAAACAAGCTGCAGCGCACAGACATATATTCCAGATAAAATGGGTGGATTTTCATAGTACTATAAGACATTTTTGTTTAAGGTTTTAAATTATATTGATTTACGTTGGGTTTTCCCCCCAGATATGTCAAATATACTTTTTGTTTATTGAAAATGAAGTAGTTGTGAGATCTCAAAGTCCAGCTCCATTTTCAGAGGATTCTTAAAATTGGACCCAAATAGGGAAAGAGGTGGACCACCCATTCGGCTAGGCTGGAGAGGAGAAGAACCTTTCCCCTTGATGTGGATTTGATTTTAATAATAATCCCACCCCCATTATCAGATGAAATTTTATTTATTTATTTATTTATTTATTTATTTATTTATTTATTTATTTATTTATTTATTTGATTTATATCCCGCCTATCTGGTCTTGCGACCACTCTTTCATCAACTATATCATACTGGCTTTTACATTAGATACACAGGGGTGATTAATCTTAGAAAGAAAGACCAGTTTGTCCCAAGATTTCAGAACCATTTAAGAACATGATTGAACAGGAAGAGCTGAGCTGGGTCCAACCAAAATCTCATCTAGTTCAGCCTTGGGTCTCCTACAGTCATTCACCAATCACCTATGAGAAAGCCGCAATAGTTAATAGTCTCCCCCCCCCCATAGCTCATGGATTCCCATATATATTATGTTATGTGCCATAGTATATGATAATGACCCTCATCTCTTTATGGTTTTTTTGTTCCATCCATATACATCCTTATTACATTGCATCTGAGACAATGACCAAAATCTTGTTGCATCACTTCATGAGCTTAACTTGACATTACGCCCATGGCAGCTACAATAGTGCCAAGGTGGCACAAAGCACTTCTTCCAATGTACTGCTCAACAGTCACAATCAAATTGTGCAATTCCTTGTTGCCTTGGAGTAATACCTGTCAAATTTATGCTGGTGTAATATTAGATTATGCCTGCACAAACAGGATTTCAGCCACTGTCAGGTAACATATAAGGCATTTGACCTTAACTGAGTTGGCTTTGAGGTATGTAAGTCATTATTTGATGTTGCATTCACTGGCTGAGAAATATACGTGTATATCCATCCTAACATGTGACTACAGGCAAGGTTACTTTCTGGCAAAATAAATACATACATCACAAGATATTGGGCATACTGGCTGAAATTCTGTTGATTGTTGTAATAAGTAGTAACTAGAGTATCCCCATTGAATCAATGGGGATTTGGTTAGTCAACTCCTCTACAGGTTCCATTGCTTCAACAAGCCTACTCTAATTGCAAGAACTAGATGTCTGGCTAATTTACCACACTAAGCAACGGAATGCTAGTTAAGTACATTCCCTCACTAAATTGGTCAACTGGTGGAATGGCTTAGGGCCCATTTCCACTACTGGAATAAACCAGTAGAGGAACCATTTTTTGTTTGTGTGTTGTTGTTGTTGTTGTTGTTGTTGTTGTTGTTGTTGTTGTTGTTGTTGTTGTTGTTGTTGTTGTTGTTTAGCCTGAATCCAAAACTTTTGTGGCAATGCTTGTATCCTCACCCTACCACTCTTGCCACCACCACTCCTATCGCTGCCTCAGGCTCCCCACTGCCACCACCATATCCAGCTCCTATCAGGTGGGTCCAGTGGGAAGAATGGAAGGGGAGAGAGAGGAGGACAAAAAGGCATGGGGACAGATGCCTAAGGGGTGGGCAGGTAGGCGAACAAGGGGTGGGAGTGGGCAAGAGGGTGAGGGAGGGGGAATGGGGACAGGATGTATGGAAAGGGCCACAACATTTCAAAAGAAAAAGTAGTAATGATAAATAAAAAAATAGTGTACCCTCCCCCTACCACCTACCCCTTCCCAGCTCCCAACCAGTGCTCTGGCACCCTTGGCAACCTGGCCAGTGGGGCAAGCTTTTATCCTCCCTCTGGCTTTTCCACTACTGGAATAAACCAGTAGAGGAACCGTTTTTTGTTTGTGTGTTTTGTTGTTGTTGTTGTTGTTGTTGTTGTTGTTTTGGATTCAGGGTAAAGTCACATGGACTTTAGCCTGAATCCAAAACTTTTGTGGCAATGCTTGTATCCTCACCCTACCACTCTTGCCACCACCACTCCTATCGCTGCCTCAGGCTCCCCACTGCCACCACCATATCCAACTCCTATCAGGTGGGTCCAGTGGGAAGAATGGAAGGGGAGAGAGAGGAGGACAAAAAGGCATGGGGACAGATGCCTAAGGGGTGGGCAGGTAGGCGAACAAGGGGTGGGAGTGGGCAAGAGGGTGAGGGAGGGGGAATGGGGACAGGATGTATGGAAAGGGCCACAACATTTCAAAAGAAAAAGTAGTAATGATAAATAAAAAAATAGTGTACCCTCCCCCTACCACCTACCCCTTCCCAGCTCCCAACCAGTGCTCTGGCACCCTTGGCAACCTGGCCAGTGGGGCAAGCTTTTATCCTCCCTCTGGCTGCCTGGGGTGGAAGAAGCAGGGCAGGTTGTCCATGTTGGGACTGTCTGTTCCCCTCTGTCTGCCTCCCTGCCTTCTCCTCCCCCTCTTCTCACTGCTCCTTGCCCGGCTGTGAGGGGTAGGGGACAGGACACCATGGCCTGGCCTCTGGCCCCTTTTCCAGTGCTCATTTGCCCTAGGAGTATGGCACTGTACCTTGCAGGAAAAAGAGGTCCGCATGGAGATTGATGCCTGCCAGCCTGGCCTTGCCTCGCTGGACTCTCCCGCCCCAAGATCCCTGGTACATGGGCTCTGCTGGGCAGCTGGCCAGTCGGCTCCCACCATGCACAGCCATGCCTTTCTCTGGTCCCTCTATGAGATGCCCTTTCAGCTGCTCTGGGCAGCATCAGGAGGTGGAGGTGACCACCTGTCCAGTCAGGGGAAGCCACTGCTACAAACATGGCTGACTCCCAGCATGGTCTTCACTGCCCTCCATGACTGCTGGCCGTTCACATGCCAGGGAGCACACCCGCCACCTCTTCCTCTTGCTCAACCGGGCAAGCTGCTCTCCTGACCGCCAGCCTGGGCTGCCCTTGACACCTTCTCCCCTCTGTCCAAACATTCGGGAGCCATATACGCCCTCCCCTTTGGTGTTGGGTGCTTTTGGGGAAAAATAGGTGTTAGAAATATTTTAAATTTAAAAATATAAATAAATTATGCATGGGTTCTTTGAAGACATCAGGTGATTATTGCAATCATAAAAGTCTGAGCTAACAGTCAGTGGGTTGGGGGGAGCAATACTTGTCTTGCCCCGGATAATAACACAACCCATGCTACTCCACTGGTGACTAGTGCAGGCAGGAAACATAGTCAGACAGCAATCTTGTTTATATTGATGGGAGGTCTGTTAGTCAGTAGAATATGAGATGCTGAAAGGCAGGTCAAAGAAGACCAGGAATAGAAGTTGTTCTCAGCACCAAAGTGCTGTTTTGGAAGCTCCTGTTGTCTGGTTGCAGTGTGGTGACTCCTTTCTTATAGCTAAAACTATTTGGTAGCTGGAATGTCTCTAAAAAGGCTGACTCCATCTCAGCTGTACTTTGAATTGCTGGAGTTCTCAGGCACTGTCAGGGGGTTCTTCCCCATCTGCAAAGCCATGCTCTGCCTCCTGTGATACTGGGTGGAGACTGCTAGCTGAGGCCTCCAGCTTATCTCTGGAACCCTCCAGCTGGGCCATATCTCTGCCAGATAGGACATGGCACTGATGCACGCTACAGTGGGTTGGGCCATCCATGGCCTTTGATTCGGTGTGCTGAAGCCTGAAACCTACTTGAGCAAGTCCTGATGCCTTCCACTGAAAATTACATTTCTGAGCTAAACACAAAAAACAACTTTGTTCAAAGAAATCCTTTCGTAATTAATTCTTAGCAACACTATTACCTTCAGGAGAGATACATGAGGTGACAGTCTGATTCACAGAACAAAATCAATTACCGGGGTGGGGGGTAACTATAATCTGTAAACTGATTAGGAGGGTCAGGGATTATGTGAAGCTGGAATCCTAATATTCGCATAGGTGTTATAAAGCAAAACCCCACTGGTACAGATCCAATTTGACATACTGTAGTAACATAACTTGGAAAAACAAGGATTTATAGCATCCTAAAACATTTCTTAGTGGGGACACGGTGGCGCTGCGGGCTAAACCGCAGAAGCCTGTGCTGCAGGGTCAGAAGACCAGCAGTCGTAAGATCGAATCCACGTGACGGAGTGAGCTCCCGTCACTTGTCCCAGCTCCTCGCCAACCTAGCAGTTCAAAAGCATGTAAATGAGAGTAGATAAATAGGTACCACCTCGATGGGAAGGTAAAACGGCGTTCCCTAGTCACGCTGGAGACGCGCTGCCTCTACGGCTTGAAAAACGGGATGAGCACCGCCCCCTAGAGTTGGACACGACTGGACTAAAAATTTCAAGGGGAACCTTGACCTTTTAAAAACATTTCTCTTACATAGTATATATGCATTTACATTCACTGAGTAATTGTTTTTATTCACTCCATTTTATTTACTCCATTCTGTAACAAGGAACTAATCAGCACTAAAGAAACAATAAGTGTTTCCTTATGGCTGACAGGTTTATTAAGGTTACAATGTGTAGGGGTGTTCCATCCCCTCAAGAGCAGGTTTGCCCTGTTTCTATTTGGCACTGAACCTGGTGTGTAATACAAATGGTATTTCAGTTAAAAGGGCCCTTTTTTGAGAAGTAGCAAAATCAGGACAAATAAAACATGAAAAGTCTGAGAGCAGCAGAGGAGAACATTTCAGAGAAATATGCTCCTGCCTCATTCTTTTAACAAAAGTGGAGCAGCCACTCACCAAAGACATTTCCAAATACACTTCTCTTTTGAACTGCACAGCTCTGAACAGCACAGATTCAGTTAATCATATTTTTTTTCAATAGAACAATGTTCACTAAATACTGTTCCTCTGGCCACCCAGAACCCCTTGAATTTCAACACTGAAGGTGTCAAAGTGTTATGCTCGTCCCCAGACACAACGTCTGTAATGCGGCCTCTAGATCAAGAGCAACTCCACTCCATCTCTTCTTCTTTGCATAATTTTGTGAATTTTAGATTTTTATACATATGTGTAGACACAAAACTATGCGTATAGATACATGCCTCAGGGTCTACACAATGATAAATAAAATGATCACTTTGTTGCAGCCATGCAGCACCCTTATTCACTGCCTGTTTGGATTGTGTAAGTTTCTCCTCCCATTTGGTAAAATAAAGAGGATCCACAGCTCTTGTCTGCCACCCTGTTTTCACCTCCCCGCTTTAGACCTTTGACGTGCATCCGGAAAACGACAGCCTACATTATTGAAATCTGTTACTTCTCTCTCTCTCTCTCTCTCTCTCTCTCTCTCTCTCTCTCTCTTGTTTTTTTTTTGTTTCTCACTT